CCCCAAAACCCCAAAACCCCAAAACCCCGTAAGGGAAAAAAAAGAGGGCGTAAATGGGTCAATGGCGTAAATATATAAAGTTAAATAAATAACAATATGACGACAAAAGGTAATGGGCGTGAGATGCTTAGGAAGAATGATTTAGCATCTAATAAACTTAATACAATCATAAACTAATAAAATTTGAGTGCTTAGTAAGAAATTAAAAATATACAAGATGATGTAGCCTCAGTTAATGAGGGAATAGAAATATAATAATCAAAGATTAGATGCAAAAAGATTTCGAATAGAAAAAATACTAACCAAAATAAGAATTCGGGAAGTATTAAAGGATAATTAAGGAATATATTAAGTTCGTAAGGGGAAACTATAAATTCAAAGATCAAGAGTAATTTTTCAGGCTAGAAGAGAAAAAGACCACTTCCAGAAACTAATGAGAAGATGATTAGATCAAACGATGGAATAAAGACCTAGCCAAAAATTAATCTTCCCACATAAAATGTGTATTCATAACCAACCCCTATTTGTCAAGGAGAAAGTGATGTTACTCGAAACAATAAGAAATATATAAACTACTCAGTATTTTTCGAGGATTTCGATGATTTATCTGAAGAGGAAGAGCTCAAAAAGAAAAGTAAGGCACCTTTTCCTAATTTTATTATTTCTCATTTAGGGGACCTAAAGAAGATAAAGAAAACAAATACTAGTTAAGTTGGAAATAGAAGGTCTCGTATTAAAATCAATGATTAATAATAATAAAATATTAATTAAGAACTAAAGGTTAAGACTGATATTTAATAGTAAGAAAATTTTTAATTAAATTTTTAGGATCCCCACTTTAGATATATCCATTCAAAATGAGCCGATAATAGAAAATGCAGCACCAGATACAAAAATTGTACTTGTAACAGTTCCAAAAGAAGAAATGTGTCTAATTCTCAAAAATCCGATGCAATCTAACTTGATAAAAATTAAGGACCAGGATTTGAAGCCTAAATAATAATCGAAAGTCCAGGAAAAGATTCCTAAAATTCAAAAATAACTCATTCAAGCTCAGTCCTAAGATAACCTAAAAGAAAAGAAAGCTTCAAAATCATTCTAAAAAAAGAAAGCAAAAGATGCGGAGAAATTAAGTAAAGAGGAGCTTAAAAAGTAAATAGAAGGACTGCTCTAGCCTAGCAAAAATCCTATCTCTGTAGATGCTTAGAAATCTCTTCAAAACATTGAGATTTAATAATTTGATCTCTAAGAATCTAAAAAAGGACTAATAGATGAAATAAAAATAGAGGACGAGCCAAGTATTAAGACAAATGATTAAAAGGACTCAACTAAGGAGGGAAACACTGAAGAAATAAAGATTGAGGAGCCAGAAAGGAAAGAATACTGCATCAATGGGCCAGTCTGCGTGAGAGGCCATGTGATTAACAATCCCTTTGATAAAGCTATCAGAACTCAAAATTTAGAATTTATCGATTTCAGCAATTCATCAACTGAAAATAACACCTACAAGCCAGCATTAATTCAAAAGGAGTAGGATTAAGTTCAGAAGACATCCGCTCATTTCATTCACAAAAAGTAATCTCAGTGCAACATTAAAAGAATCTCAGGAGTCTCCTTCATTAAAAAGTCTGAAAGCAAGCAAAAATACGTTAGAGAAAATTATGAAAAACTTGCGCCTATTGTAATTCAAGGCTCCTATCATCTGACCAGATTTGATGACCAGGAAAAGTACAGATAAATCAAGAATATCTCAAAGGAACTTCTCTTCTCGCTTGATTCTTATCTAGTATGCACTGCATTCGAATCAGGCAATGAAATAGCCATGAAAAACTATATCTTAAAGCCTCACAAAAGACTATAGATATGCAAAGGAAATATTTGGATTGTAAAATAGGGGGGACTTAATGAATGTTGGAAGTTTATCAAAGATAAATACTTCCTCTGTCTTCACTTTATGTATGATCCCTAACATCTTCTTAAGAACATTGACCCTGATGACATTAATGACCAAGAAAAGCTTTAGAAATACATAGTTGAGAGCGATCTCTGCTTAGGAATCTTGACTAAGAGAGGCAATGCAAGTATTAAATCAATGCTAAAAGTTTACAAACTAGAGTAGCATTATAATGACTGCCTCAAGCCATTAGTTAATCAGACCCCAAAGCAAGAGAGTACAATCATTAAGCCTAGTGATGATAGTAATAATAATTTAATGACTTAACTTGATGAAAATGAGAAGACCCAAGAAGAAGAAATAAAGCAAATTGAAAGTCCTAAATTTGACGTATCAGACTAGCTTAATTGTTCTGGAGCTCTCATAAATGGAGTTAATACGATCGCTTTAATGCTTAGAATTGAGCTCTACGTGGACGAATATAAATGGAAAGCAATAAGTAAGCAAACTTAGACTTAGCTTAATGCTCTAATGACTTCATTTGAAGAATAGATATAGCCTTTACTCTTATAATGGAATGAAAACAGAACAACCGTTATTAAAGCCTAGATACATTCATCCAATATATTATACAAGACTTAACTCCAAGTTAAACAATTCGAAAAACAACCAGTACAACCTTGGCTAGAATTAAATAATGATATAATTCTATGCAAAAAGGAACTAGGATAACTCTCTAATCTAGTTTTCCAACCTGAAAATAATCCAAATGAAATCATAAACTAATTAAAAAATTCAATCCCAATACCTATTACATTGATTAATACTCGCGATTGTTTCGTCTATGATCTTTTTGTAAAGGAAACTATTGTGAATTTGGGCAAGGATAGAGAGAATGTAATTAAGCGGGAGTTCTTCTTCACCCCTGATTGTGTTCCAGAGAACTATAGACAAGTTGTTGGTCTACCGAGAGACGAACTCATTAATGATGTCGAGAGATTGAGAGTTGGTGTCACCACATATGAGAACTTCTATACAAATGATGAAATGAAAAATATGGAGAGGAGAATAGAAGACACTGAGAAAAAGTCACTTGCCAATACATATCTGCCAATGACAGCTCAGAAAACATTCTCAGGCAATACATTAAAAAGAACAAAGTTTTTCTTCGGATTCAGATATATGTGGACCAAGACCTAACTATTAGAGCCATTAAGCAACGTTGCAGCTGGAGTTAGAGCAGACGTTTCTTAGCCACCAGTATGGATGAAGACAACTTTAGAAGAGCCTTTAGTGAATGCAGGAATCATTGAAAAGGACTTTGTTAACTCAGTAGCCTTAAATGTCTACCATGATGGTTCAGAGGGTTTAGCCTAACATTTTGACGATGCTACAAGATTTAAATAACCCATATTTACCTTAAGGCTCTTTTCTGATTCAAGACTTTCCTTTGGTTCATAATACTATGGCTTTTGCAATGGAGCTTTCACAATTCCTTTGCCGAGAGGCTGCATCTGTGTGATGGAAGAGGGATCTTATTCGGCCAATGGTGTTAAGCATTGCATCAGGCCATGTGATATGACAGGAAAATCCTCTGCTATAATTCTAAGATAAATGCATCCTAATGTTGTTGAATAGGCAGTAAAATATGATAGAAATGTCGACCTACCAATGTGGATGTCAACCTTAAGCCTTCAAGATGAAGCTGTCCCATTTTATTAGCAAAAAGAGCTCGAATGTGTTGATTTAGATCATTAGCAATAGCTATTATCAAATCCTGATTCTAACAATATCAATTCTAACCAATTGGATAGAAAAAGAGGTCCTAAATTAAGTGTTCATGCCTTAGAGAAAAGAATCCAAAAGTAAAAACTCAAGGATGAAAAAGATGTCAAAAGAGTAATTGATGATATGATTAAAAGAGTAGAATTCAAAATCAAAGAGGAAAGAGAAGTGATGCTCAAGTACATGATTTTCATGAATTCAGATGAATAAGGAATTAATTAGGTTACTTTACCTCAGCCTACCTAATCCGGATCACCTACAAATGATATCCTTGATGATAAAAAGTAAGCAAGCATGATTGATAATAAGGATTCCACCTCTACTTCCAACAATGGAGCAAGTTTTTCACAGTAAAACCATAAAAATTCGTTGTTCAGTCAAATTATATCTATTGGAGAAAACTAAAGTTCTACTGATTACGCTCCTGAAAGCTCTTAGAGAGACTAAGATCTTTCAGCTCCAAGGTATTTTCTTAGTAACTAATAGATCCCGACTCTACCTCAAATAAGCAGAATGATAGCTCCTTTTATAATAAATAGAAACTAAAGACAGAATTGAGATGAACTCTCTCAAAGGCTAAGTGCTCTGAAAATCATATAAAGAGAACTACTAAGACATTTTATTTGTTATCTTGATCTATTTTTATGACTTACTCTCTCTTTCTATAGTTTATTTTATCAAACTTTGACTTTTTATCAATATTCTTTCATTGAGATTGAATGCTTGCCTATCGGGGTTTTGGGGTTTTGGGGTTTTGGGG